ATGAAGAGAAGCACAAGAAGAAGCATGAGTTTACTGAGCAACTCCTCAAGCTGCAACTCAAGGATATGCATGAAAGCCAACACAATGATAGAAACCAACATGGCCAAGGCAGAGGTAGAGGCCATGGACGAGGTGGAAGTCGAGGTCATGGACGAGGCTGGAATTACAACAACAACAATTCCAACAACAACAATTCCAACAACAACTATGAGAAAGGAGAAAGCTCAACACGAGGCCGTGGAAGAATCAATCCGAACTCAAGGCATGACAAATCTCAAGTTCGATGTTATAATTGTCAAAAATTTGGGCATTATGCTTTAGAATGTAGAGCTCCCAACAACAAAATTGAGGAAAAGACTAACTACGTGGAGGAAAAGACAGATGTCAAAGAAACTCTTCTTCTAGTACGAAAGGAAAATGATGGTGGCCAAGCAAATTCCTGGTATCTTGACAGTGGTGAAAGCAATCACATGTGTGGAAGGAAAGACATGTTTGTGGAGCTAGACGAGTCAGTAAGCGAAAATGTTTCGTTTGGAGATGATTCCACAAAAGCAGTGAAAGGGAGAGGTAACATTCTTATCCGTTTGAAAGATGGGAGACATCAATTTATTTCAAATGTCTACTATGTGCCGAATATGAAAAATAACATCTTAAGTTTAGGGCAACTGGTAGAGAAAAGTTATGATATTCATATGAATAATTATAATCTTTCTATAAAAGATGATAAGAATAACGTCATTGCTAAAATGCCGATGTCAAAGAATATAATGTTCTTGATCAACATACAAAATGATGTTGCAAAGTGCCTGAAAGCTTGCTATAAAGATGCATCATGGCTTTAGCATCTTCGATTTGGGCATCTCAATTTTGGAGGTCTAGAGCTGCTATCTAAGAAGGAGATGGTGAAGGGACTACCTCGTATCAACCATCCTGACCAGCTTTGTGAAGGGTGTCTAGCTGGGAAACAATTCAGGAAAAGCTTTCCAAAGGAGTCAGAGACAAGAGCCAAGAAGCCACTCGAGCTCATCCATACCGATGCGTGTGGACCGATCAAGCCGAGCTCTCTCGGTAACAGTAACTATTTTCTTCTCTTCATTGATGATTTTTCAAGAAAAACCTGGGTATATTTCTTGAAACAGAAGTCAGAAGTTTTCGAAGTCTTCAAGAAGTTCAAAGCAGCAGTGGAAAGAGAAAGCGATAGAAAGATCAAAGCCATGAGATCCAACCGAGGTGGAGAATTTACTTCCAAGGAGTTTCAAGAGTTCTGTGAAGCAAATGGAATTCGTCGACCAATGATAGTTCCTAGATCCCCCCAGCAAAATGGTGTGGCAGAAAGAAAGAATAGAATAATCCTCGACATGGCACGAAGCATGCTCAAAAGCAAGAAACTACCCAAAGAATTTTGGGCGGAAGCAGTATCGTGTGCAGTCTACTTGTCAAACCGATCTCCAACAAGAAGTGTATGGGAAAAGACACCGCAAGAGGCAAGGAGTGGAAGAAAGCCTGGCATTTCCCACTTGAGAACCTTTGGAAGTATAGCCCATGTTCACGTACCAGACGAGAGAAGAACGAAGCTTGTTGATAAAAGTGAGAGTTTTATCTTCATCGGCTATGATGCTAATTCGAAGGGCTACAAGTTGTACAATCCAGACAATAAGAAGTTTGTGATTAGTCGAGATGTGGTCTTCAACGAAGAAGGAGAATGGGATTTTAACTCTCATACAGATGACTTCAATTTCTTTCCTCAGTTTGAAGAAGATGAGCAGACAATGAAGGAACAACTAGATGAATCTCAACAAGAGCTTGCAACTCCACCCACTTCACCAACATCAACCACTCAAGGAGACTCATCACATTCGTCATCGTCAAGTGGGAGTCAAAGTGAAAGAGTTGTACAACGCACAAGAAGCCTTAGAGATCTCTATGAGGTAACTAAACGACAAGATAATCTTACATTATTTTGTCTGTTTGCCGATTGTGAACCAGTGAGCTTTCAAGAAGCGATACAAGAAAATAAATGGAGAGATGCGATGGACAAAGAAATCAAGGCCATCGAGAAGAATGACACATGGGAAATTACCTCACTTCCCAAGGGACATAAGGCGATAGGTGTGAAATGGGTGTACAAAACAAAGCAAAACGCCAAATGAGAGATTGAAAGGCACAAGGCGAGGCTAGTTGCTAAAGGCTATAGACAAAAGGCTGGAATTGACTATGATGAGGTATTTGCTCCTGTTGCTCGATTGGAGACTATTAGACTAATCATTTCTTTGGCAGCTCAAAACAAGTGGAAGATACAGCAGATGGACGTAAAGTCTGCCTTCTTAAATGGAGTTCTTGAAGAGGAAGTTTACATTCAGCAACTATTAGGCTACGAAGTCAAAGGGCACGAAGACAAGGTGTTGAAGTTGAAAAAGGCTCCTTACGGGCTAAAACAAGCACCAAGAGCATGGAATAGTCGAATCGACAAGTACTTCCAAGATAATGGCTTCAATAAATGTCCCTACGAGCACGCTCTATATATCAAGATCAAAGATGGAGATATTTTGATCGTGTGCCTTTACGTGGATGATTTGATCTTCACCGGAAGCAACCCGAACATGTTTAAAGAATTCAAGGATGTGATGATGAAGGAATTCGAGATGACAGATATGAGACTCATGGCATACTACCTTGGCATTGAAGTTAAGCAACAAAAAGATGGAATTTTTATTTCACATGAAAGCTATGCAAATGAGATACTGAAGAAGTTCAAGATGGAGAACTGTAAGCAAATAAGCACACCGACAGAATACGGGATCAAGATGTCCAAACATGAAGAAGGCGAAAGTGTAGATCCAACATTCTTCAAAAGTTTGGTGTGAAGTCTACGCTATCTAACTTGCACGAGGCCCAATATTCTTCACGCAGTTGGATTGGTTAGTCGCTACATGGAATCTCCAACAACCACCCATTTTAAAGCTGCAAAGAGAATTCTTCGCTATCTGAAAGGTACAATTGACTTCGGCTTGTTCTATTCAGTTTCTAATGATTACAAGCTTGTTGGATATAGCGACAGTGATTGGGGTGGAGACATGGATAATCGAAGGAGCATTACTGGATTCGTATTTTTCATGGGAGATACTGCTTTCACATGGATGTCAAAGAAACAACCGATTTTCACATTGTCCACTTGTGAAGCGGAATATGTTGCTGCTACCTCATGCGTTTGTCATGCAATTTGGCTTAGAAATCTATTGAAGGAGATAGGTTTGATACAAGAAGAGCCTACCAAGGTTTGTGTGGACAACAAGTCAGTCATTGCCTTAGCAAAGAATCCAGTATTCCATGATCGAAGCAAGCACATCGACATTCGGTACCACTATATAAGGGAGTGTGTTGCGAGAAACGATGTGGAAGTTGAATACGTGAAGTCACAAGATCAAGTTGCCGATATTTTTACCAAGCCACTGAAAAGTGAAGACTTCATAAGATTAAGGAACTTACTAGGGGTCACAAGATCGAGTTTAAGGGGGGGTGTTGGATCATAAACTTGATCCATTATGGGAGCCTAAACCCAAACCCAAACTAAATTGATGTCATTGCTTACATCATTTAAGTAAAGATGTCATTGCTTACATCATTTAAGTAATGATGTCATTGTTACATCAATTTAGTTAGGTGAGAGTTAGGTATTTGTTGAATTTGTAATGGTTTAAATTAGTTTATTTGTGTAGTGTAGGATTGTTCTTGAATAGTATAAATACCCCTCCCCATTTTAGTTTTAAGCATCAAGAAAAATTAAGAGCTTCTAAGTGAGTGAAGAAGCAAAGTCTTATAAGAGTGAGTTGTAGTTCTTGTTTTTGAGTGAGAGTGCTCTTGTAATATTTGTTTGAGTTTCAATAAAAGTTGTTTGTGTGAGTGTTTTATTTCCAACACCATCATCTTGAGGAACGTCGGCATTTTATCGACAACAATGCTCTCAAGCATCCATTTCCTTGAATTCTCATAACATGTATCTCTGGATTCATTTCTTTCTCCCTTTGCCTTCATAATCGTTTCTCCTCTTATTATTCTACAACTGATAATGAATATCAGGAACCCGAAAATGAAATGATGGTGATAAGAGTGATTCGGAGTTGACAAAGAGACCTTAGACGAGTTCGTCATCTTCTTTTATCTGAAAATAAAGATTGTTAAAGAACCTGTTGAGACAGACTACGACAATATGTTACGATGGCTTGAAATTATTCTATCACCTGTAATTTTATTCTTTTTGTTAGCAAATAATAAACTATGAGCTCCAAACTTGAAACGTTCTTGTCCTTCTATGGTTTTCTTGTTATTGGTGATATGCACAATTTTTTTATTGATATAGGGCAATAAAAGTACAAAACAACACTTGCAATTAAATAATTTTTAATATTCAAACATGAGATCTCTAAGGATGACAATCATCTCTTTAACCACTGAAATAACTTGATTCATGCTTGATAAGTACTATTTTAGAAACCAACAATCTCTTCCATGAACATATTGATTGCTTAGGGTTTGCTCTCGAAATAACTTTATGAATGATCGAACCCCTATAAAATTATATTTTATAAAATATTTTTGGAAAATGCCTTTAAAAAGATGATTTTAAAATTCAGAGAAAAAAATTAAGTTAAAAAATTAATTAAGCATATAGAAGATTAAAACACTATCACGACACAATAAATAGAACTATAATAAAATCGTGAGAATATGTTATCATTGACATAAAGATGTCAAAATCAATATATAGGTATGCGTCAAACATATCAAACTGACCCATTACAAGTATGTTTCTTGGATCATTATGTGATAATCACAACATTAAGTAACTACTTAATCAAATATTAAGAGTACTTTTGAACATTATATCTTTGCCAACAGGACTTTGCATGAATTGGCAGTCAGAAATGATTTTTGGGGTCATCTGAATTGAAGATTTGAATGTAAAATTAACACTATGTAATAGAGGGAAAAGAAATCGAATTTATGGAAAATTTAGTGAAGTTCAAACAAAGCAACTTCAAGAATCTATGTTGATCCCTTAAAATGTTATTACAATTTTTTTGTATAATGATGATAATTAGTCGGCTTTCTGCTTAGACGGTCTTGATACAGCACGGTAGCGCAACCCAGTTGTACACCTTCCGATGAATTTGAGAAGCTCATCGATTACAATTACGGGTAAAGTGACAGCAATTACGAGCAGCCATTCATTGGTGCTGAGGGGAACAATTCCAAATACTCGTGCAAGGAAAGGCACGTACAGAATCAAGAAGTGAAGACCAAATGAGATGGACATGGCTAAAAGGAGCCATGGATTGACCCAAGGAGGCATTGTCAACAGGCTTCCATCTTCTGATAGAGCGTTAAGGGAATTGAACATTTCAATGGCTACCAAGACGGAGAGGGAAAGTGTTGAGGCTTTGATTTTCCCAGATTGAAAGTAATCACATGGGTCTAAATCAAATTTAAACACTTGGGAACCTGCTGTGAATGGCGACACCGAGAATCCTTCCCAAGAATTGCATTTATCCCAGTTGGCAAGTTGGGAGTAGGTAACAAGACTATGGCCATCTCCACTTAAATCAATACCCAGGAAACTGTGGTGGGTGTACCATATGATGAAGACCCCGACTGTGGCTAACCCGACATAGAGTCCGATCACCTGCACCAATGTAGGAATTAAGTTAGGTTTTCATCTTTGCTAAAGTACGCATTACTTGGCCAACAACGAGAAAAAGATGAATCGGCTACCAGGTAGCGGAATAAGATCCAAGCCGAGATTAGTGAGTCATCGCTTCGTCTGGGAGGCTTCTTCATTATATCTTTGTCAGGGGGATTGAACCCTAAAGCAGTTGCTGGAGGTCCATCAGTAACAAGATTAACCCACAGAAGCTGAACAGGGATCATGCCTTCCGGAATCCCCAATGCAGCAGTCATAAATATAGAAGCAACCTCACCGATGTTGGAGGATATCATGTACCTGCGGTAAAAACGTAGAAGAATGTCATTCAATGTTGTGATTTAAAAATTAACCAAATTGACCAAAACTTTTGGAAGAGGAGGACTCAAATTAACAATGAATGAATATGCTTCAAGAGTTGGAATCTAGTATGAACGGGTGCAGCTATCAAAGGCAGACTCGGTGCAATTTGTTAAATTCACAAACATTGCCAGTTCATTCTATAGTCATACATCTAAGTTACAAGACTAACCTTATAAAAGCCTTCATATTATTGTAAATGGATCTGCCCTCACCAACTGCAGCAACTATAGTGTTGAAGTTATCATCTGCTAACACCATGTCAGAGGCTTCCTTTGCAACCTAGAAAGAATCAAGCAACGATGAAGAGAGGATCAAATAAGAACGTTAAACATTCATGAATAATTTGAACTAACATACTAACTGCCTGGTAATAGGCAAGGGTAGTCAAGATTCCCAAGTAAAATAGAGATGAAATCGTACCAAATATTTAGAACTAGTTGACTCAATCAATACCCATAAAATGTCAGGAAATAGCGGTACAGCCATATAGCTGTTCCAACATATATTTTGAATAAACAGCAGGCACAACCATGCATGCTGCACATGCATTCAGTTGTGCATCTGAATCATCATTCAGATGCTATTTTACAAGGAGAGCTGACGATATACAAATAGAAAACAGAGCCCGCAAGCATATAATGAGATAGCATATTATAATATGCAAGTAACCATTAGGACACCATGGATGTAATAGGGAAGGACATTGAATACCTCAGTCCCAGCAATGCCCATTGCCACTCCAATATCAGCCAACTTCAAGGCAGGAGCATCATTAACTCCATCCCCAGTCATTGCAACCACTTCACCATCCTCCTTCAGCAACCTCACTATTTCTTGTTTGTGCCTTGGCTCAGCTCGAGAAAATAAAAGACCTCCACCCTGCCTCAGATGATTTTTCTGATAAGGATGATCCATAAAGTCCTTTCCGGTTAAGCTTCTTGAACTGATATCTTCAGAAGGTCCAAATACGCCAATTTCACGACAAATAGCTTCTGCCGTGTTCTTGTTGTCTCCTGTAATGACCATAACACGAATCCCAGCTGCTTTGCAGTCTTCAATTGCTTGACGAACCTCTTTCCGAGGAGGATCCTTAATAGGTTTGTTCAAGTGCTTCAGAAAAATAGTGGACAGAAGAAAACAAAAATACAAATAAACCAGAAGAAGCTTACCCTTAGCCCAACTAAACCAACAAAAATAAGTTTGCTCTCGATTAAGGAATAATTGGATGGATTAAGCAAAAGCTGATGAGCTGGATGATCTTCATCACCATTATATGTTGCAAACTCAAAAAGCTCTTCCTTATATGCGAAACCAAGGCAACGCAATGCATCTGTTGACATTTCCCGAAGACTCTCCAAAATAAGATCCTTCGAATATTGGTCTAGTTCTATAATAGAGCCATCGCGTAACTGCATAAAAGAGCTCCTGTCCAATAAATTCTCAACAGCACCCTGAGCCATTAAGCATGTACAATTAGAATGGCATGCAAGTAAACTGGAAACCAGCAGCAAGCAACATGATAAAATCTTACTAGGGTGATAAAATCTTACTAGGGTGTTTACTGGAACCAAAAAAGAAAAGGGTATTGAAAGAGAATAAATTAACATAAATCAACAAATAGTCAGTCCATGTTACGAGGGAAGGAGAGATAACTAAACCTTTACTAGCAATGCCTTTCGACCTCCACTGGAATTCACAATAACTCCCATGGACTTCCGATCACGGTCAAACTCAAGAGTTGCAATCCTTTGCTCCATTTTGTTCCACAGTTGACAACAGCCTAAGTAGCATAACAGAAGAAAAGAGAAAGCTAAGTAGGATATAAAAATCATCACCTAACAAACAACAAAATTAGAGGAAAGAAATCAGTTAACATACGTTGATGGTCCTCATGACCCAAAGACGAGCCATCCTCAGGTAATCCCATTTTCTCAACCAGAACCTGAAATCAAATGGAACAAAATAGGAATCTCAGCAAGGGGAAAATATGCAACATGGACCTTTAGTATAAGTTGAATGTTTACATGCTGCAAATCTAGAAAAAACATCACAAGTTTAATGGGCAAACAAGGCCGTGTTTATAATATGGGTAGCTAATGCTGAGATTTAGGTCTCCCTGTTATATCACTTTAAAAGAACATAATTAAAATTCAAAATATGATACAAGAAAAAAAGGTTCAAACTAAGGTTTTTGCTTTGGATGTATATAGACAGATGCAACAGGCAGAAACTTAAAGGATTCAATTTCAGAAATGGGGTTTGCAACCTTTAGTGCAGCCTCTGTAGGCATTCCGGTGGCAACATAATGATTCCCAGATTGTTCAATACCAGCATCATTGCAGACAGCAGAAATCTTTGCAATCATTTGAAGATTGACATCCATTTCACCAACTGACCAGCCTCGAATTTTCCCATCAAAAGGATTATATGTAGTCCCTTCCACATCAAACGCTCGCAGCGTACCAGGCCTTGAACCTATAGCAATAAGCTTTGAAACAGCCATCTGATTGGTAGTCAAAGTCCCTGTCTTATCAGAACAGATAACAGTTGTGCAACCCAGAGTCTCAACACTAGGCAGCTTACGGACAAGTGCGTTCTTTTGAGCCATCTTTCGGGTTCCCAGTGCCAGACATGTTGTAATAACTGCTGGTAAACCTTCTGGAATTGCAGCAACAGCCAATGCAACAGCAATTTCAAAGTAATATGTGCACTTCTCAAATGAGAACTTGAAGTTTGTTGGCCAACCATCAACATATTCCCAGGAAAGAAAATACTTCACGTTAATAAGCCAAACTAGTGCACAAATCACTCCGATTATCATTGTCAGAACCTCTCCAAACTCATTCAACTTCTTCTTTAATGGGGTATCTTCCTCACTAAGTGATGCTTCATGAATCTGTGAATGCACCTTCCCAATCTCTGTAGTCATGCCTATATGGGTGACTAAGCAAATACAGTTTCCATTGACCACAGTTGTTCCAGCAAAAACCATACATTTCTTCCCTTGAATATCTGAATTCTCAGGAACAACCTTCACGGTCTTGCTCACAGCTTCACTTTCTCCAGTCAATGACCCCTGTTCAACTCTTACAGTTGAGCTTACCAAATTCAAAACCCGCATATCGGCAGGGACCTTATCACCAACTCTCAACTCCACAATATCACCCGGGACAAGCTCCTTTGCAGGCAAATTTGAGATCTTCTTACCATCTCGAACTACATTTGCCTGCTCCGATTGAATTTCCTTCAGAGCCTCCAAGGCTTTTTCTGCATTGCTTTCTTGCCATATTCCAACAATGGCATTCACTATCAAGATCAAGAATATAACAATTGGCTCCACAAAAGCTGTTATCTCCATCTCCCCTCCTTCATCGCCATCATACCAAGCTAAAATAAACGATATAATGGCAGCAAGCAATAATATCCTAACTAAAGTGTCATTAAATTGCTCCAAAATTAGTTGAAATATTGATGTGCCCTCATGCTTCTCCAACTCATTCCATCCGTAAATCTCCCTCCTTTTTTCAACTTCAGCAGTTGATAAACCTAATTCTTGGTTTGTTTGGAACTTCTCTTCGCATTGTTTTACGTCCCTTGCCCAAGCAGGAAAATTTTCAGCCTTCGAAGAAGCAGCACTGACATTTTCTCTCTTCCCGTAGTCTTCCCCTCCTCTCCCCATTGAAATTCAATACCAAAGAAACAATTCTTCAAGTAATTGAAGAAATGTCAAAATAGCTGAAGAAAAAAGTTGAAACTTTATTTCCTGTCTTCAGAACTGGACCTGAAAGCAAAGAGATTTACTAAAATATCATGATCTAAAAAGCAAAGTAATAACAAACCATTAATACTTAAAAACTAACAATATGTTTTGAGTTTTCACCCAATATAATAAAAAAACAATAGAAAAGAAAATAAATGATGCCGTTTTTCTTCCATTATCCATCATATTTACACATTAGAAACCCAAAGTAAAAGCTGGACCCAGTTGGACCCTGACTTTTAGTTTTAGTTTAAAAATAATCCAGAAATTCAAAAAAAGAGAGAGAAATAAGGGAAAATCAGAAAAAAAATCCAAAGATATTAACATGATCAATAAACAGGTATTAGTTTCATTTTCAGAAAGACTTGACATCCAATATTGATGGAACATACCCTAAATAGAAAAACCGATGCACAGAACAATTCCTGCACCTAGGTTCATCAATATAATGACTCATACATGGAGAAGTTGTAGTCACATTTGTTCAAAAACTTGACAGGTAGAAAGTAACAAAAAAAAAAAGAAATCATTATATGTTTCAGGTTTAGCACTAAAACGAAAAGAAATTGTTATTGAAAGCTACTTCATTATCACCAGATCGACAGATACAGATCCATCGAAGCCAAGCCAAGCCAAGCCAAGCCAAGCCAAGCCAAGCCAAACAAGACTAAGAGAATTAAAAATAAAAACACTCAAAGATCTAACCTTAATCTGAATGAAGAACTGCAGAAGAGAGCCGACTCATCTGACGGAGTAGTTGGTCAGTTAAAGGAACGAAATAAAAAGGAAAAAAATGGAAATGAATTAAATGCCCTAAGGGTCCCATTTTGGGCCTCTCACTTAATAACCAATTGGGCTAAAAGTCCAAATATTTTTTTATTTTTTGATATAATGTCAAAAAAGTCATTGATGTTTGATTAAATAATCACTTTTGTCCCTTTTTTATTTTGACTCTTAACATTTCACTTTAGGTAAAAAAAACTCATCTATGAATAGAAAACGTTAGTTAAAAACGGTTAACACTTTAAAATAATATTTGTCGTTTTAATAAACGTTGAATACTAATTTTAGTATCATGTCATTTTTTTTACAATCTAAAATTTTGAAAGTTTATTTTATAATTCTGGAATAAATACAATACAATATTTATTTAAAGACTTTTAATCATTTAACAATAAATATTTATACCTTATATACATAATGTTCAAACTCAAAATTTCAAAAAATAATAATAATTCATTCATCTCGAGTTTTAAAAGTTAATCAACATAAGAGAGATCAGTGATTCAATGGTCTACATGTGTTCTTAGAAGAAGCTAGATTTCACATTGTCTTAACTAATAGAATATTACCACGTGTTCATACACCACGTAAAGTGATTGGCTTTCCCATGAGACAATCAAATATGATCTTTTTGTTTTAATTTTTGCGGCCTCCCACACTGAATCTCCACTTTTGTAAAGCTACAAACTTTTCTTCAAGTAGTATATTTAATTAAAATTTTATATCAATTTGGTTTACTTGAAAAAATATATATTTATTGTTTCATTAATGAATAATTTCATAATATAATGATTATTATTTAATATACTGATAGTGAAATAAAAATTATAAATAAATTGGGGATGTTGTAATGTGTTATTTTAATATATTAAAAAAATAAGAGAAAATTTTAAAGAATGATCATAATAATAAAGAAAATATTTTTTAGATGAACTGAATTTGAGTAATTTTATTTATACATGTGTGTATTTAACCAGCTTTAATAGCAAAATAATATTATCTTATAATCAATATATTTAAAAAAGAAAAGGGATATAAAAGCATCATGTGAGGATTTTTTCATTCACATGTATAAAGTAATTATCTATATTATAAACTCTTTACTTAATGCTCTAAGAAGCTCCCTATTACTTGCTACCAAAGAAACAGTAGAAAACTTTCCGACCATTTGGACATAAAGATATTGCTGCAATTGACTATATTTACAAAATGAAAAGGTTTTTCTTCGTCTTCTTCTTCCATATTCCAACTTTTCCGGTACTCCAAAACCATCATGAATTTTGTTGAACATATATCAAAACTTGACTACTTGAACAAGTCAAGTTCTCTTTAATTCTATTTTCTTTACCCTTCAAATGGCTTATTGAATAGCATTTATGAACCCACTAAATAGCCTTGATGTCCAACTGCATCTGCAAGGTGTATGTGCGTTGTCAATAGTTAAGAAAGATTATGATCAGATACTACTTTATAATTATTTAAGACTATTCAAAACAAATAATAATAATAATAATAAGATTAGCTTATATATAAAGAACAGTTCACTAATGATGTTTCTGTGGCTAATCCAAATTTTATGATAAAGCAAGAACAGATTGGCCATAAGAAAAGAATAATGACAGATTCTGGAGGGGGGACTACTACTGGTGTGATAAATGCCACCAGCTATGACCTTACTCCACAATTATTGAGGGAGAGGGTTCATGACTTTTTAATCGTATGGGAAGAATCAGAATGCATCCTGCTTTTTACTTTTCACCATATCCAAATGAAAATTCCTGGGAAATATCTGCATGCTAGAAATGTTGAATTTACTGGTGTTGCAGTTGACGGGGACTAAGAAAAGTCATAGTTGAAGCTTCACCTGAATTCCCCAAGCCAAAGGGAATCAATTTCTCCTTTAATTTAAACCAATCATCAACTGTAACCTTATCTACTGCTTCTTATTTCTTTCTCTCACTTTTCTTAAGAAACAAACAAGTTGCAGATGAGAAGTCTACATATTTTGCTGCAGGTCACTCACTATGGTCTAGGGAACTTTTTCCATGCATTTCAACTTTAATCAGTTACAAGGAAATTGCTTAATTGAAATGAAAATGGAATATTGGCTATTTGTCTTTGACTTCCATTATTCATCAAACTGAACTGTTATATGGAGGGGAATCTGAACAAGTGGGTTGGGAATTGTCATGTTATCTGGCCTATTGGAAACTTGTCAGATGTTACCAGATGGTTCATAATGGAAAACAAAGGCCGAGCCAACTACCTTTTCTACGGTCCCCTCCTCGAGGGTGGACTCTTATTTCTAGTCGTGGTGGTGCTGGATTGTTTTTTTAACGAGCATAACTTGAATAATGGATAGAGTTTTGGGCTTTACACTTTGTAACTTTTGGGCCAAATTGAAATGCCCACATTGGCTACCGTCCCTTTTGTGTTCTTTTCTTTTCTTTGATTTCTACGAGAGCGTGTGTGCTTTAACACCCTTTTCCTTGCCACATGATGATCCCTTATTTAATTCGATATTATTGTATCTCTTCTAGATTTCATTCGTAAGTCCCACCTCTACTGTAAATCGTTCGTTGATCAAAGTTTCTAAAATTTTATGTCCTCCAATCAATTATAATCTTTTGACATGATCACTGACAGATTCACATTATCTGTTGAAAGTAGAATTTATTGTCTGACAACAATATCTATTTATCCTGCCAGCTTACAGATAAGTATCGTGACCCTAGGTTTGAAACTAATACTAAGTGTTAGTATATAAGCCACTGTGCATAGCTAGAGAAGAGATCCTAAACTCTCTCTATCCCTCAAATGTCATTAACCATAGTTTTACCAATAATAATTGGTGCGGTAAGTGTAGAGTACTTTTCGACCGAAAGAAATAGTCAAAACGAACTTGTAAGAGCAAAAAACCAACCTAACTTTCTATCCTCTTCACTTCCTAAAATTATTATGATGTGTCCCATTTTTTTGGTTAATACCAGCAAGTCATGTACAACCCGACGTATTATTAGATCTATCATGGTACTTACAACCAAACCGATCAACAATATCACTGGTAGTGGTATCGATAGTTAGCATATTCCAATAACCAAAGCTTCATGCGAGTTAACAATTTACAGAACGAGATGCAAAGCTTGCATACGTAGTTTCAAACCTCTCATGTGGTCCAACCGCAGTTATAGCAGCAGAGCCAATACCAACAAGAGTTGATCTAGGAAATTGTTCAAGAGTTGTTGGTCTCTTAGTGTCAAGGATGAGAAGAGGTACCAACAAGGGTAGACGACTGCCCGTCTGAACACTATAGAGGACAAAGTTCCTCCCTAGAGCCTGACAATAAGGGACAACATGAAGTGTATGCCTCAACATGTCTTCCTCACTCTGCCAATATCGTTTGGACACATATTCGCTTTATCCTCTTCTATGAAGGCTTCTACACTCGCCGTCGAAAGGATTCTCATCTATATGCTCTATAAAATGTCTTTCGAAAGACGCGTCCAACATGACATCCTTTTTATATGACAAAAGTGTCATTTTCATGAATAATCTATAGATGATGCTAATTTATAAATAATTAAAAATAATATGTATGTATGTATGCATGTATGCATAGGATTTCAAATATTATCATTTAGAGAATAGAAGAAAAAGTAAAATATAAATGAAACTGAATATATTTAATTGTAATTAAATAATAATAAAACACAAAATAAAATAAAAAAAGAGTTAATTAGGACTTTTTATTTATTTCCTTAATATTTTTTCTCACAAGTTGATCTTCACTCTAGTATTTCTTTGTTTTATCATTTTTGGGTCTCTAAGTGTTGCTTTTTATTTATTCCTTTGCCTACCTATTACTACAACTCAACTACCATATCAGTTTAAGGAATTTGCGAGTCGTATCTCCAATAACGTCTCGTGAGCATCCAACACAACTCTCCAATCGCAACCCAAACTTAATCCACCTCCTCAACCTCCCAATTCCATCGATCTAAATCCTACTATAATAGTCATGACCCATTTTCTTTTATCACCTTTGAGCTTCAACGTAAATTTCGTATTGTAAGAGTTCATAATTATGTCCAAGATTTTTTGTCGTTGGTGACGAAGAAAAATCTCTAATAGTATCTTCTCTCCTTCAAATGTTGCATATTTTTAAGGTTTTAAAGTAGGAAAAGAAGAATGAGAGTTTAGGTGACATCTGAATGATCGTATGCTACGATAATCTAGGTTTGTATAATATATTCCTAGACCAACTATTGACATGGACAATATATATAAGATTGACATAAAAGAGAATACATATGTTGATTGGAGGATGGAGTACAATGATTGGTTAGTGATGCAGATGTACTCTTGATCATCAATTTATTTTGAGTAATGATATGTCAATTCCGATGGATTACATGTCATGGTTTATACAATACGAAAAGTTAAATCAATTGTTTTATGATAAACAAGTTACATATATTCATCAATACAAGAAAAAAGCATCCATCAATGTAACATCACCGTCCCCCAACTAATCAGGAAAGAGTAAACCATTATGATTTGTCATCATAAACACCGCCTAGACCAGCACAACATACACCTTCAATGACACCAATGTGTAACCAATTGACGAAGATGTAATATTCAACATATATTGTTCCACCTCTCTCGAGTTTAACATAAGGTTATTATATGCCTCTAATATCATACTGATTTTTTGCTTCAAATACCCTATTGTTGATGGGTGATTATCCTCCCCTAGTACCACCACCTCCAACCCAACCAACAATATCATATTCTAGATTCTTATAGTTTACCTTTAATGATAAGATTGTTAATTAGATATTTTCATAATTGTTATTCTTCATATATCATCTTTCATCACACGAATGAAACACGTCGATGAATGAACTCGTCTGATGAATAGACATTGTTATCAATAGTGTTAGAGATATTATCGAAAATGTTGGAGCAAGTGGCA